TGGCTTAAAATGGAATGAATGGTGAGGTAATGAGACTAACGAGTATTTTTTCCATGCAGACAATTAGTGGAGCTTCAAATAAAACATGAAACCACTACATTTTGATTTTTATTTAATTAGTTATGATTTTTTAAAGTTGGCCTAACTTTTAAGGGTTGCTGTGAATAATAATCCAAGAACAGAATTTTTAAAAACTTAGGGGTCGCTTGGTTTCTTATTTTAAAAATGGTTTTTGGTTTTTTAAAAATAAAAAAACAAAAAAACTTGTTTGGTTAGTTGTTTTTAGTTGATTGTTTTAAAAAACAAAAAACAGTAACATGTTTTTAAAAACCAAAAACCAAAACAACTTTTATATATTTTCTGTTTTTGTTTTTGTGTTTTTATCTTTTATTTTGAAAATTTTTGAGAAATCTACTTCTCCTCTCACCTACTACCTACTATCTACCACTTAATATTACCAACAACAACTATTACCTACCAAGTGTGGTTTTCTACGAGTTTTTTTTCAAACATGTTTTTTTAAAATTATTATCCAAACAATTTTTTTTTTTTGCTTTCAAAATTGTTCTAGAAAACAATTTTATAAAATTGTTTCGAGGACAAGAAAACAGAGAACAAAAATAAACAAACCCATAATTTTCTAATCTTGTAGCCAACAAATGTGGTTCCAAATACTTTCATTTGATGTGCTATTGGGTATAAAAATAAGTTGTTACGTCTTGTTCTTAAAAGTTTCATTTTTTTACAAGAGCTCCCACTTAACTAGAGTACATGGTGTTTACTTACATTTCTTTCATTGCATTATGTTTATAGGGTTTTGTGTACTTTTATGTGGGAATAAGAGACCCATGAATGATGTTCTTAAATTCTCTAAGCATATGATTTCTTAGTGTTTATTGTAACGAAACAACTCTATAGTGAGTTAGGTTTCTATGTTTTTCATACCTAATTTCAAAGGTTTTCAGTAACTATTCTAAAAAAGCATGAGAGGTGTTCCTTTCTTATTTCGTGAAACTCCTAGAGTTTTTTATCATTTTCTTCCAATGTTTTATACAATCCAGCTTTGTTTTCTCATAGAAACATTTAGTCATTTCTCTAAGACTTTTATCATTTCATTCGCTGGTGGTTGGACTAGGCTTGGGGTTCTGTTCATCATCTCTCAAGATGTTCTTTTTTCCCCCCTTCATGCTTGGCGTGCATCTTTTTCCTGAATTCCATAATGATTTGGAGTTTTTGGACATTAGGAAACGCCTCCATTTGAATTTCTATTTCCCTTTGATCTGATACTGCCTCTTTAATATCTAATCTTTCACTTTTACCTTTATGAGGTTTCCCTGGATTTGCATCTCAACATCATCTTTCTTAAGTTTAGAGAGAGTTTTTTTGTTCTTCTTTTGGTTCTCTATTCTAGATCCTTTTCTAGTTACACCCATTATCTTATTTCAAGATTAATTATTGAATCTTACTATGGATTCATTTCCTTTTGATCCTTTTAAGGATCTTCTCCTTCTGGGCTGCTACTCAGTAACTTGTATCTATAGGAAAAAAATCCCTGTCTTATTTTTGGATTAAGAAGCTCACATTCCTCTAAAGAATTTGTGTTTGGATCAACACTTAGAGATTTCAGCTAATAACAATTTTTTTTCCTAACCTCTCATAATGAAAATCATATGTCTCTCACAAAAATATTCATGCTTAAGTTTGAGTTTCTTAATAGAAACTTCACCCAAAAGAACAAAAAAAAACTTCATTTAAGTGCTTTTGGGACTCTCCGATTTCATATTTATCCAAAATAAAATATCATGAATTATCACAAATTTTATAGGATCTTTAAATTCATAAAAATCATAAAAATAGCATTACGAGATTCATAAATAGAACAAAATGTGCCCAGACATAGGCAAATAGTATCTCAAATTGAAGCTTTTGAATTTTAGAAAGTGTTGGAAGCAAACCACATCTCAATCAGATTGGAAAATGCATTCGTACGTGCCCCGAAAAGAGAAAAAGAACTAAAAGACTAGGAAAAAAAAAGAAGGTAAAATTCCACTCTCGCTAATAGGGAATGGGCCCCATGCACCTGCAAGGAGGCTGTCATCACTTGCATAAGCTGGTTCGGAGGCATCCACGCTCCCATACAGGTTGACTGGCCTGTGCCACATGGCATGAGGCCCAATTATTGGGCCCCAGAGGCCCATGATATATTTCTTTTTTAAGTTATTGATTATTTGTTTTTAAAAGGGTGGAACTTTTTTTGTTTTTAATGAACTTCAGCCCAAGTTACGATAGGGCCTAAATAAAAAATTTCTTGCTTTTGTTTGTTTTTTGGTTTGCATCCAATTCAAATCCACCCATACATTTTTTTTTTGCGCATCCCTAAAAAGACATCATTTTGGGGCTGGAGGTCATCTTTACCTTGCAGTTGCGTCAAATTCGACCTAGCTGGGACAATGGGTCAAGGGTGTGTTTGAATGAAACTAAACCATAGTTTGGAGAATAGTTTCTGGAGAATAGATTCTGAAAAAAATAGATTTTAGGAAGAATAGATTTTGTGAAAAAGTGATTTTGAGAAGTGTGAGTGTTTGGATAGTTGTTATTAGAAGTACTTTTTATATATACAAATTGGCATAAATTAATATAATAATTATAGAAATAATATATTTTATAATATATTTTAATTTGAAGGAATAAAATTGTTAATAATATATTTTTTATTAACATATATTAATAATATATAAGATAATATAATTAATAATTAATTAATATGTATATATATTTATAAGATATAAGATTAAATATGTTTATAAAAAATATGTTTATAAAAAAAATAACAAGATATATATCCTATAGGTTCTCACACTCTCTCTTTTTTCTCCAAAAGTAAAAAATTTCTGCTTTTCCGAAAACCATGGTTTTGGAGTCAAAACCATGGTTTTGATTTTTTTAAGGGTGTTTGGCTAATATTTTTCCCAAACCATGGTTTGGGTCCCAAAACCATGGTTTTGGATGCTTGCCAAACACACCCCAAGTCTTACAGACCCAAACTCTTCTCTCCTCCTTTTCTCCACCGTCTTATCTCTGTTTTGGTCACTCTTGGTGTCTATCTCTTGGTTTTTTAGAGATCTACACAATGGGACTGGATTTGACAGCATAAAAAATGCAGTTTCAAGGTAACCTAATATTAAATATTGAAGTTCTTTTGATTTCGTTTTTGGCTACGATGTATATCTTGCCTCTTTCTTTTTGTTCCAGAGGCTTTCAAACCATATCTATTGCCTTTTAAAACAATGCTCACGTGAATAAGATAAATGTCTATAGGAATTGAGTGAAACATACACAATCTGCAATCATAGAAAAAGACAAGCCGTAGAGGCTACTATATAAAGCTGATTGAAAAGTAAAAAGTAACTAATTTATAGAATTTGCTGAATATATATTTGAGTGGCAAATCACATTTGATCATTGCAAAATAGATGCCTAAAGAACTAAAACAAATATATATAGATTGAAGAGAAACAGAAACACGGTAAGATAAATAATAACAAAAAACATCAAATAGGCTGCAAAAAAAATCATTTGCTTTGATGCCATTGAAGGATTTGGAGCTGACCTGAAATTTCGATGAAGTATCTTGGCAGTCCCCATGCAATGAATCACAGTTTGGACTCCATTGATGATATACCGTAAATTCATTGATGAGGAAGAGAAAAGAGAGAGGAATGTTCAGGAGAAGTTATTGAATTCACCTATATGCAAAATTAACTCCTTCAACTTACATAATCTTATGACTCACATATGGGAAGTTATCATAATTTGAATTTTTTAAATCAACAGTTAAAAACTCTTTATTTGAACCCATATTTTATTCTTATTAACATAGTAGCCCCACTTATATTGGGCTTGGGTCCTAATCCACCAAGGGTAGACTAGGTAAAACCCAACATGAGTCAAAAGGGACTTTGATGATTGAGAGAATTTCTCTTCCTTTAATTTGAGGAAGAAAATTATCGTTTTTGCTAATATTAAAGTCACAACTGAAATTCGGAAGTATTTGGGTTTTTCTTTATCAAGAAAGAGGAAACTTAATAAAAATTTCCATTATATCATTGATAGGATGAGATTGAAGCTAACCTCATGGAAGGAGAATTGTCTCTCTATGGCTAGACGTATTGCTCTAGCTAAGTCGGTGCTAAGTACAGTAGTTATTTATGCTATACAAATGGCTAGAATAGCGAATTCTATTTGTGATGAAGTGGAAAGAATACTAAGGAATTTTGTTTGGGATGGCAGCAATAATACAAAGGTATTTTATTTGGGGTACCATATAAAGAAATTTTTGTGTGGATAACCTTTAATAATCAGTTCCCTACAAATTATTGGAGGAGTAGGTGGTCTCAAGTTTCACCTCTTTGTTCTTATTATGCTGCTACTGTTGAAGATGTCTTACATATCCTTAGGGGTTGAGTATGCTAGATCTTTATGGCTACATTTACTGAATCCTAGGTATTAGTCTCAATTTTTGCAGCTAATTTGCGTGACTGGTTTGCTCTGAATTCAAAAAGAGACCTAGGAAATAATCTTGATGGGAATTAGTCTTACATATGGGGTGTCTCAATATGGAAATTATGGTTATGGAGGAATAATGGTGTCTTTGATGATGATTTTATCAAGCCTTCGGACCCAACCTTCACTATAAGGCATGGCTGGATGCGTTATGCGAATGTGCAGGATGTTGTGACTGATCTAAGCTCTCCCTGAATAACTGATTCTATTTGGCTCCCTCCCCCACATGGATGGGTCAAAATTAATGTAGATGGTGCGGTTACTCATTCTCACAGTAGAGCTGGATTTGGTGGGGTTATTAGATATCATGACGGGGTTTGGATTGCTAATTTTTGGGAGCTTGGATTCAAGAAAGTCATTCTTGAATCAGATGCAAAGAATGCAAAGGACATGATGATACACGGGTATGCTGATGAGAAATGTAGCCTTTTATTTCTACATGATTGCAAATAATACTTTTTAGAATAACCACAGTATCCTTTATTAATTATTCAAAAAAGTTAAAAAAAAAAACTTTGGAAAATATATCACCGAGTGGCTATTGACTTCTTGCAAACCACAAATATAAACTAAAAGTAAACATTGTTAGGTTGAAATTGGAACACCATTCCAATCAGCAAGGCACTCCAAAAGTGGGTCAACAATCCTTGCTTCAGAGATTGCTTTAAACACTTTATCTAAGTCCTCATCTGGTGACTTGATCTTTTCTCCTGTAAGCAAGCCAGTCTTTAACTCTTCCCTTACAAACTTATATAACGGGTATGACCTGCACTCCTTAATTCTATTTGGAATTGCTGGCTCACCATTCTCATAACCCACCCTTGCCCTTTCAACTTCCTTTGGCAAAACACGCTTAAGTTCATCTTCAAACTCATCAATCTTCTCAAAAACTGAAGCACTGTTCACATTATTCATCTTCCCTTTCACAACGTTCTTATGTGCTTTCTCATAAAGAACTTGTTTCAGTTTCGGCATCAGTGGGTATGCAACATTGAAGGGATCATCAATGTATGAAAACACATATTCATTATCAACCACTTTGAGTAAATCTTCTTCGCAAAGTCGATCACATGGGTCCTCTGTAGAAGGAACTATCTTATTTGTAACTTGGCTTATAGTGTTTTTCACAGTGATAATGAAGATTTCTTCCAAGTGCCTCAGGTCAATGGCTTGACATAGTGCTGCCAAATAAGTTGAGCACATGAGCTTCAAGATCTCAATAGCCTCACTAGTTTTTCTCGCAGAAATCAAACCCAGAGAGTTCACATCTTGGTTGTGATGTTCTGCACTTTGAACGTGACTCGTCACTGGATTTGCCAAAAATTGAAGTTCAGAACAATAAGACGCCATTGCAACTTCACATGCCTTAAAACCATAATCTAAGCTTGGGTTTCTAGAAGCAGAGAGATTTGATGGCAACCCGTTGTTGTACATGTCGTTTACCAGCTCAGTGAACTGTGCAAACACAAGTTTGCCTATGGAAGCAACAGCTAAACGCGTGTTGTCCATTGAAACTCCAATGGGTGTGCCTTGGAAATTACCACCATGGAAAGCCTTGTTACTTGAAATGTCGATCAAAGGATTGTCGTTCACAGAGTTTATCTCCCTTTCAATGGACTTGGTGCTGTATCTGATGACTTCAATCTGTGGTCCTAGCCATTGAGGAGAGGTTATAAGAGCATATCGTTCTTTCTTAGGCTTTTGGGATTTCAGAGATTGCTTCACATAAGAGCTACCATCTAAAATGTGTTCCATAATTGCAGCAGCTTCAATCTGACCAGGATGGTGTTTAAGATTGTGAATCAGATGATGAGTGAATTCTGGCTTCCCATGCATCACTTCAGCAAAAATGGCGGATGTGACTTCTGACAATAATGCTAAAATATTTGCTTCAAAAAGCACTACGGAAGCCAATCCAGATCCAACAGCTGTGCCATTCACAAGAGCAAGGCCTTCCTTTGGCTGCAATTCAAAGAACTTCACGCTATCCATGTGGGACCCACCATTGTCTATATCTCTCTCATCACCTGATGATTTATTGGCATCGATACTTGTGTTAGTAGTAATGTAATTAATTGTTTGTAAACCGAAAAAACAAAACAAAGAATCAATGGGCATGTACTTCATTTTTGGATTCAAGACATTTGTGTGCGCGCGCGCGCTCTCTTAAAGAATTAGATAAGTTATTGAATTGGTTGAAACATGAATTAGTGGTCTAATTGTAGTTGAACCGGAGACAACATAATTATGACAAAAATAATATAATTGAAGTACAATATACAAAAATATTCATATATATAGATATAACACTAATGAAAAAGTAATATTTAAAACAAAACGCATTAATCCACAAATAAATATAATATTTACACATAACCAATAAAACAAGGTTAGTAAAGCATAAATCTAACAAACTACTTTTCTTTTATTTTTCAACTCAAAACGACTTTATTTCAAGCTCAACAATTACGGAAAAATATGAAATTTAACATGATTGATCCTTTTAAAATTTTTGACTGGACTGATCAGTTGGTTCACTAATCTAATCGGCCGATCAAGCTGAGTTTTGATACCATGCTTTATCAATTGACACTCATGGAACCCACCTTTGAGTGCTGAATGCATATGCAGCATATATATGTTGTACCTGTATTATTGATGCCAGCTTGAAGGAAAGCTTGGTTGGGGGTAAGGAACTCTCCGGAAGGCCCAATGGCTTGTGAATTTGGGCGACCAACAAGCAAAGCAAGAATGTAGGAAAGAGGGATGAGATCGCCGGAAGCAGTGATGGTGCCACGGAGAGGCAAGCAAGGAGTGATGTTGTGGTTGAGCAGTTTGGTGATCGCTTCTAACATCTCAAATCGAATGCCTGAGAAGCCTTGAAGCAGAGTGTTCACTCTCACAACCATTGCTGCTCTGCTTGCCGGCACAGGTAGAGTGTGCCCTGTCCCTTTTCCCTTGTCGAATATCGCACAGTTTAAGAATCTAGCGGCACAATAATCGTTATTTTTTTTCCCATCAGAGGGTAGGCATTGTATGTGCATTTAAATCAAGGTAATCAAATGGACCACTAATTAAACCCATTGAAGCACAGTGGTCTAAGAGTTAATATTGTAATTTGAATCGACTCACTTATTATTAAAATAATATAAATTAATTAAAATATATAAACATATCCATATCTAACCTTGAAAAGTGTAATGTTGAAATAAATATGTATTAATTTCCAAGTAAATGGAATATACATTCATATATAAATTACACATAATTTAACAAGACAAAATCATTAAATTACAATTTGATGGATTATTATTTTTTAAACTTAAAATGATGTTGTTTTAGGCTTGGCTTAGCTTTGAACAAAAAATTTATAAATAGCTTGGTTGACCCTTTTAATCCTCTTAACTGCACTAATTAGGGGATTGATTCACCAATTCACTTATTTAACCAGCTTACTGAAATTTGGATGTTAATATTATGATAGAAACACTAATTTTAAGTTGCACATAAGTTTTTATATTTTTGATCTAATTGACTAATAACTTTGTTCTTTTTAATTAACAAGCATTTTGAGATAGGTGAAATATAAACCCGAAAAAATAAATCCAATGAGGGATGGTTTGTTAAAAACATTGCTTAAGAATATGTGTTGATAAACATTTAGTGTAGCTGAAATTCAAAATTTTGGTAAATAGTTAAATATAAGTTTTTTTAGTTCATTGTTTATTAGGTTTAGTTGAACTATGGATTAGTTAAGTTATTGATTATTAGGTTTAGTTAAATTAGGATTGGAAACTTTATTTATTTTAATGTTAAATTTCAGTTTTAGCACTAAATTCATTGAATTTTAGTCTAGTGAAAGTTGTGTTTTAGTTTTGAATTAGTTTTCTATTATTTTAGTTTATTTTGCTGGGTGGAATTGATTTGGTATTTCAGATACAAATTAAAACAAATTTATATAAAAAAATTTAAATTTTTCATGGCAGTTATTTTATTGATCACCATGGAAATTTCTTTTCATGATGGTTGATTAAATAAACACCATTTATTGAGGCATTTTCGTGACAGTTATTTTCTAAAAGCAAGCGGAAAGCAAATTTTTATAGTGGTTGTTAATCTTCAATTTTTGACATTGACAATAATCACTACGCCTCTAAAACCGTTATGAGAAAACCTTTTTAACCGCCATAAAAGATGTTTTCTGCAATAATATTCTATTTTTTTCAATATAAATATTTTGTTGATGTTATTTAATTAATAAATTACTAGTATATCTCTGTTGGTTTTTTCTTAATTTAAAATTTATACAGATTATTATGAATTATGACTTTTGTGAAAACTACTTATACTGTCCTTTGTTTAAAAAAGAAGCTATGTAAATTCTTTAAACGATGAGTTTGTTTTTTTAGCCATACACAAACTTCTCCATGAGTTTGGATGAAACTATAACTACCCCTCAATATATTCCAGTCTGACGAAAATTTAAGAATTTTTTTTATTTTTGTTAAAAAAATTTGAAGTTATATTTGTTAAGAGAAAAATTATTCAAACTTTCCATCTACTGCACAAAATGAAAGCGTATAATGCTGTTTGATATGGGAAAAATTAGTCTGAATCGTTTTTAAAACAGTTAAGCTAATAAAGTATTCCTAAATATGTACATAGTATTATAATATCGTTGGAATAAAGAGTTCCTCATGTTTTGCTCAAAAAAAAGGGGGGGGAGTTCGTCATGTGGAATGTCCATATTTAAAATTTTTAATTAATTTTTTCTAAATAAAAATAAATTTTTGAAAAAAAATAGTTCAAAAGTTATTGTTATTTTATATTTCATACCTATTAAAATAATTATTTTTTAAGAAAACTAAAAAATTAAATCTAAATTATCCAAATCAGATTTGTATGGTCATAGATTTGATAAGTTTGGATTACCATCACTTCAGATGAGCGCCCAAACCCCGCCCCCCGGGCTTTTTTGTTTTTTTTGTTTTTGCCAACGCCCAAACTCATTTTTTAATTGAGCAAAATCCTGTTAATTTTTAGACTATAAACGGAGGTAGGGTCTATCATTAAAAAGTAATAAGCCTTTGTTAAAATAAATACCTCTGGCATTTTTGTGTGCTTTCGAAATTTTTACAAACACTTGCAAACTAAGGAAACATTATGGTGCAGGTCAACAATATTGATCGAAATTAATATTTCTTTTTAAAATATCAAAAATGTTAATATAGAAAATAAAATCTATCAACAAATGATACGTGATGTGTGGGAAATGCGCCTTGTGAAAGATAAATTCATCTAATTTATTACGAAAATGACACAAAAATGATATTTAAATTTGAAAATAGTTATCTAAATAATGAAAATTCTTATTTAGTCACACATGATCAAATTGAGATTTTGAATTTGCTATAAAAAACCAAATTGCTCTTAATTCTTTTTTTTTTTAAATCATCAACCACCCTTACCAGATGGCCGAACGCCAGAGCTCCGGTGCTAGTAACCCCTACTAGGAGTTCAGGCAAGGCTGTCAGTCGCCTGAGCTCCAGTGGCTAACCGGTGACCGGTCACTGGAACTGCGATCACCGGCAACTATTTTTTTGAAATTTTTACAACTCTAGTAACGCAGTTAATAAGTTTTTTTTAATGCTATTAACAAATTTAATATAGTAGTTAAGAACAGACTTTTTAGAAAATTCAAAAATTGGTATTTTTATAAGTTCAATAATGTGGTTGATAATTTCTTTAACACTATTAACAGGTTAGTATAGTAGTTAAGAACAGGTTTTTTATGAAATTAGTAGTTAATAACAGATTTTTCAGAAAATTTAAAAAGTGATATTTTTTATAACTTCAATAACATGGTTAACAAACCATGTAACGATAGCAACAACTCTTATAGTGTCATTAACAAAATTTCCTATGAAGGTTGATTTTTTTTAATATTAGCTCCCTAAAAAGATTGTGCAACAAAAATTTTCATTGATTAGGCAATCACAATGATAATAAGAGTTGTCAATATCATTACATAACTTGTTATTATAGTTGTTAGTAGCGCTATGAAAGTTATTAATATCATTACATGACTTTTTAACTATATTACTGATGTTGTAAAAATTTAGCTTTTTGAATTTTCTAAAAAACTTGTTAATTACTAACCCCGCTTTTATTTATAAAACCTCATTTATAGTCTATAAACAATGTTTTATAAATAAAATCGGAGGTAGTACTATACTGAACTTATTAATAACTTTAAGAAACTTGCTAATCGTATTATTAAAGTTGTAAAAATGTCAATTTTTAAATTTTCTGAAAAACTTGTTATTAACTATTATATTGAACTTGTTAATAGTGTTAAAGAACTTGTTAACTATATTACTGGAGTTGTAAAATCTCAACAAAAAAAAATAGTTGTCAGTCACTAGAGCTCTAGTGATCAGTCCTTGGCCGATCGAAGAAGCTTAGGCGACTGGCAGCCAACCTGATCTTGGCAGTGGCCACCAGCACCAAAGCTCTGGCAACTGGCTAGGCAATTTGGCCTTTTCAGCAAATTTCAAAATTCTAATTTAGTCATGTGTGACCAAATGAGAATTTTCATTATTTAGGTAACCAAATAAGAATTTCAAATTTATGTATCATTTTTATTTCATTTTTAAATTTTAATTAGAAATTGAAATGAAAAAAAGCACACACATGCATAATATGTTTTCATTTTGAAGAGGGGGAAGAGCCTGACCTTACAAGCTCCTTTTGAAGAGCAGCGACTTGTTCAGTTTGCTTATGAGAAGCAGCGCCAAAGCCAGTGGTGACACCGTAAATGGGAGTCCCATTCTTAACACTTTTCACTATCCAATCACTGCTCGCCTTCACGCCGGCCCTTGCTAACTCCGATAAAACCACCTTCACGTCGGAGCCCCGATTAGCCGCCGCGGCCACCTGGGAAAGCGACAGCCTCGCGCCGCCCAAATGGACGACGGCCCTCCAGTAGTCAGTCGCCATGGCTCTTACTTCCTCCAAGTGGCTTCCCTTGAGCGACTCTGCTGCCTCCCCCCATCTAAGTGGGTCGGAATAATCGGGAGTTTTCGCCATGCTCTTGCTCTGCTCAAAGCGATGCTTGTTTGACGGATCAACGAATCAATTTATCATTATATATATATATACACATATATTTATATATTACCAAGTTGTAGGGTTCATTAGTTTAATTAGATAGGGGTCGTCTTTATGGTCGGTGAGTAGCGGTGGTTGGCGAGATTCTTCAAACAGAGATATGTGGCTTGTGGGGCAAGTTGTTAGAAAGAGCCAATTAGAACCATGGAAATTCCAAACAAATAATAATAATAATAATAAAAACAAATATGATAAGTATTGAATCACCCACCAGGCGGCTTGTATACTACGTCAAATCTCGTGGTTTTGACTTTTGGAATCTTACAGCGCACTGCATTTGGAAATACCTGAAAATTTTAAAAGTTAAAGTACGATTTTATTTATTTATTTTTCTTCAAGAACACATGAGCACAATGAGTAACCTCAAGTTAAGGGTGAGGCAATCCCACCTCTTATATGTTAAAATAATAGTGATATCACCATTCTTAGCTGACTATGAATTACAAAAAACCTCAAAAAATTATAAAGAAATAGCTTTTAATAAAGTTAATATCGATGAAGTCCCAAAATTATATATCAATAAAAGCCAAAAGAGTGATGTTATTTCTTACTCATATATATATATATATATATATATAAAAGACCCAAGTCACCATTTTAATGAACTACTTTATAATATGATTATTAGATCATCATAAATATCTTAGTTTTGCGTTTAAATATTTTTAGGGTTTCATTTATACCACATATTTGACTTAATGATTGAATTTACTGATTACAGTTATCATTAATTCTCTCATGGCTTTTCTTGTGTTTTCTTTTCAGTTTTGCTTTCCCTCTTTGATTTCTTTTCTTTTCTTCCCAATTTCTGCCTCTTTCTAACTCCTTTTACATCAAGTAAATAATTAAAAGTTATTGTATTTGTTTGGAGAAATTCTAGAAAAAGAACCCTGAAATTAGTGTTTTCTAATCTAGGCAACACTTTAAAATGATACAGAAGGAAAAAAAACCCAAATTGAAATTTTAAAATTTAAAAAAAATAACAAAAATGCCCCTTTGTGAATAACAGTTTAGCTGGGAATAACAAGTCCTGATTATGACATAACAAATTTCGATTTGGGATTAACATGTTTTTCCTAATACATAATACATGAACTAATTAAAAATGACAATGATTCATTTGGGAATAACAAGTTTTAATTGTGAAATTACAAGTCTTGGTTTGGGATTCATGACATGGTTTTTTCTTATGCATAACATGAAATAACATGTGAATTGATTAAAAATGACGACGATTTATTTATAAATAACAAGTCCTAATTGTGAAATCACAAGTTCTAATTTGTGATTAATAACAAAACTTGTCAATGGGATTAGTAAATGAGTATTTTTGTCATTTCTCTTGAATTTCAAAATTCTAATTTGGGTTTACTTCATTCTCTGTCATTTTGAAATGCTATGTGCTTGAATTGGAAAATACTAATTTCAGAGTTCTTTAGAATTTTTCCTATTTGTTTTACTAATAACTTGTTAAATTTTAATATCTTAACATCTAATAACTTAAATATTATTATTTACAAACACTACAAAAAAAAAAGTAGAATTAGCAGTAGAACATTTTTAGCGGTTAAACAAAACCGCTACAAATTCAGACATTTCTAGCAGTTTTCAAACAAATCGCAAGAAATTCGTAGCTTTGACCAAAAACAGTATGGGCCCCATAATTTTCTAGCAATTAGCAGTAAACCGCTAGAAAGTGACCTCTAGAATTGTTCGCGCGTTTTGGCGCGAAGTTGGGGTCAAACTTCTAATGTTTATTTTCTAGCGGTTTTGGTAATGGAACCGCTAGAGAATGCAAATCGTCATTTCATTCTCTAGCGGTTACTAAACCACTAGTAATGCAACCAACTTTCTAACAGTTTTAAGAGAAACCGCTAGGTTTTTAATTTTTCTGAGGAGTTGTGACACATGGCTGAATACAAGAGGTGGCACAGTGCAACAGCTAGAAATTTTTATCGGTTTTACTTAAACTGCTAGAAAATCGCGGCCTATATATACCCCCTCATCATTTTCACTGTTTTGGCAAATTTAAAGTGGAGTTCTGTCGAATTCTCTCCACAAAGTATATCCAGATCCAGTTACAGGTACAGATTTTTAGGTAAGAATAGTAATTTATTTATAAATATTTTTTATTTTTATTTTTATTTTATTTATTTTATTATATTTTTTATATTAAGTTTGATAGACTAGTTTAATTTAGTTAGAGTTTAATAGAAATTCTTTTTTATAGTAGGCTAGTTTTTATAGAGTTAATAGAAGTAGTTATTTTTTTCTTTTGATGAGTTAATAGTAAATTTAAATATAAGAATATCTGTTGTTCAATTAATATTATTTGATATTATTATTTAGAGTTAATAGAAATAATTATTATTTGATATAATTATTTATTTTTAATAATTGTTAGTTGTAAAATATATTTTTCATTACAATGGTATTTGCTATTATTAGGATGAGTCGTTGAGTAGGGAAGGAGCCGATTGATCTTGAGAGAGTAGGACCCAGCGAGGATCGTGGTGGTGGGGTTTATGATGCTGGTGAGCCATTCCCAAGCATTCATGACTACGATCTGAACGAGGAGGATATCCTGAGCTTTATGAAGCATGATAATGTCCAGCAGACTAAGAAGGCTCATTTTTCGGGGATAAACAATCCCATGGTGATGCTGGTGAGGAAGAGGAGCAGGTTCAGGGGAATGAAAATCCCCATACTGAGCAGCGTCTTGCTCCCAGATGCCATACCAGTTTTGAAGTAGAATTTGAGAGTAAGTATTTATTTAACTTTTTAAAATTTGGCAACTATTTAATTTGTATAGAAATTATTTTAATTCATTGATATATAATTAATTTCTTAATTAAATTTTACAGACTTTGAGGGAAACAGGTCCTATAGGAGGCTGTCAGCCAGAGAACCATCTATGACGATGAGCGAACGGGTGGTTGTGCTGCTGAATGAATTAGGCCAACTGACAAGAAAGGTGACCAATAGTGGACCCTATTCCCTATTTATGTGAAGGATTGGAAGAAAATCACTTTGGAAAAGAAACAACAAGGTTGGAAAATGATGAAGGTAATATAAAATTATTATTTATAATTTTTTAATTTAAGTAAATGAATATATATTTTGTTTTAAAATTCCTTAATTGTTTGATTGTAATTTTTATTTATTTAATTAATTTGTTATTTATAATTTTTTAAATTAGTTAAATGAATATATATTTTTTATTTAAATTACCTTAATTGTTTGATTATAATTTGTTATTGATGTAATTATTTTTATTCTCCTATTTTGAAATTAGTTAGATGAATATATATTTTTT